CTTTCTCGATTCCATCATTTTAGATTCCAAGAATAGATCTTTCTAATTCAACTCGATGTTAACATTGAAAACCCAGGTCGACTGTATAGAATATTCAGTAAAATAACATATAATAGCAGATGAATCTCGTGAATAGAACACCGATTAGTCAATGTTGAAATAAATGAAGGAATTGCCAAGGGTGAAGTTCTTTTTTTTATTTAGAACTAAATACTCATGATAATATTATTTGTACATTCGGCTATTTTGAAAATTGCTTGAATTTAATAAAAATTGTGTAAGACTTCACAGAAGTATTATATTTCACAGCAGCGTCAGTCGTTTTGCACAATATTTGAGTTAGTTGTGCAATAATTTTTTACTTTATTATATTAACAAAGTCGTAGGCTTTTTCTTAGTTTCTAACACTAACATAAAATGCCCGATACACATTTCTCTACGGTGCATTTTATATATCTAATAGAACACTTAGTTTTAAATCCGAGTTGAATTAGAAAGATCTATTCTTGGAATCTAAAATGATGGAATCGAGAAAGACACACAGAATCTTGAAGGTTTAGTATACTAAAATGAATAGATCAGCGCATGCGCATATTAGTTCTTTTGTTTTAAAGAAGACAGATGAATAGCATTTATTTTGCTTAACATTCTATTATATTTATTATTTCAGAAATTTTATCCTAACTTCATTATGAACACGAAAAGAAAACAACGAGAAACTAATATTACTGACGAGAACACTAACAAAAGGAAGAAATCAATACGCCATTCATGCAAGTTAGTGAAAAGAAAACTTTTAATTTATTAAGGAGCTCTGTAACTCATCTTGAAGATTTTTGTAATGAAATCTTCTATGAAATCTTTGAATTTCTTGATTTTTACCATATATATGAAGCCTTTTCAAAACTCAATTCAAGATTTACAAATCTTGTTAATGGTTCAAATATCTCTATTCGATTTAATCTATCTAAAACATCGAAATCGGCTTTTCAGCATCATTATGAACATATGATAATTCGTAATGAATATCGAATTAAATTATTATACATATCAAATCCATTGATTATTGACTACGTATTTTCATCTTCTATTCTATCGAAATTAATTCATCTTGAAAATCTTAATCTTCATAATATTCATTCGAAATATATTGAAGAACTTCTTATGTATTTAATCTGTATGCCTAATCTATCTTCATTGACTATCAATTGTCCAAATAATTTGACAAATAAAAATTTTATTTTTCAACAAATATTTCTTTTACCTGTATTAAAATATTGCAAACTATCATTCGAAGAAACTGATAAATCGGATTCATTATCTGTAGCAACTACTAAACATAGTTCCATCGAACAACTTACTATTATTGGTAAAGTAAATGTGAACGAATTCATTACTATTCTATCATATATTCCTCAAATTCGACGTCTGTCAGTTAGTAATATATATGAATCTTCGAAATATCAAACAAAGAAATTTAATCCAATTGTATTAAATCATTTGACACATGTTTATTTAAATATGAAAGATGTTAATTTTGATAATTTTGAATCGATTATTAAAAACATGTCTCATCAAATTCAAGTGTTATATATTTCGACAAAGAATGACGAATTATTTACGACTGCTAATCATTGGCAAGAATTAATCGTATAGATATTCTTCTCATAAAATGAATCATTTGACTTATAATGATTTTTTCAAACAACAGAATTTTTCATTTTGGTTTCAACGTAAATGGTTTTTTAATTATGATATTTATAACCACGAAGGTGAAAACCAAATTATTATCTATTCAACAAATCCATATAGGTATGAATAAATTCATTTATTTACTCTAATCATTTTACTTTTAAGACGAAAACAATACACGTTATGTGATGAAATAAATGAAGATATTGATAGAAATTTTGAAAAAACTTCTATACATTCAGTTAAACAACTTGAGATTCGAACAAAAAAAAGCAATAATGAACTGTAAAAATTATTTTCCAAATGTGAATGAACTCATTTTATATTCCATCTTCATTCGTAAAGATAAAACTAATTTTTCAATCTTACTCGATAAAATAGTTCCTTTAAAATCACTAACTAAATTAGTTTTCGATTTCTATCTTTTTTGTTTGCCAAAAATACTCGAAATATTACGTTTTGCAACTAACATTGAAACATTGAACATTACAATTTCATCAAATTATGTTTCACAAATGGATTATCATCTTACAAATACATATGGACTTCAGCAAACTGATATATTTAAAACAATATCAAAAACAAAACAAAATTCGAAATTTAACTGTCACAGGCTGTACAAGAGAAGTAATCGTATTGTTTTTTGGTTTGTGTCCACGATTACAGCATTTCGCAACAAATGTACTTGGATGGTCTTGT